TTGCCTATAATGGCATCGTCCTCAACGCGTATTTAGGCACTAGAAATGAACTGAGTTCACCCGCTGTTTTTATGTGTAGTAACTCCGCCCCTCCGATGATGAAACATGGCCAATCAAGTGCCGACACATCAGAGGGGGCGGGGAGAGGCTGTATTTGCATGCCCCCATAATCAGTAATGCCGTTAACCAATTAGTGCAGTGTGGCGAAACCAACCTCGCCACTGTGCACTGGAGAAGCCTGGTTGCCAGCCTCCTGCCATCTGACTATGGCCCCCTTTTAAAAGACTTTATTTTTGCCTGCAGAAAAGCTGTATTCGTGCTTTTCTGCCTGGGGTTCGGTAGATGTGTTTGAATGTGTTATACCCCAGATAGGAATCCCATGGAGCCCATTTGTATGAAACTGACTGTAAAGACTTTGGCTCCATGGCGATTAAACTGTATTCGTGTGGTCTGAGTGCCATTCACTTAATAATGTGCTCTCAGACCTGAGCTATCTGGGGATATGTGAAACGTCTGTGTTTTATGTATAAAAGGTGACTTTATGTATTTTAAAGTGTTTTGTGTCTTTTTGCAACCATGTGCTTAATGGAGTCTTGTGTCTGTCCTGGGAGATAATTGAATTACTTATCTCCAGGATAGAAGACTCTGAAACTGGTTTGGGCCGGAAAGCCATGCTTCATTTAGTCACAAAGGACTTTTTACTAACTTTTGAACACCTTGTCTGATTTGTGCCATTTTTTAATATGTTGTTCACCTGAATGGATTGATTGTGAATGTGTAATTTTATGTGAATGTGATGTATGGTTTTAGAGTTATGAAAGTTGGGTAGAAAGTATGTTTTAACTGTATGTATAATTGAGTTTCCTCTCAGGATAAGGGGAGGGAATATGTGGGATGTAACTGTGATGTGATTGGTTGTTTTATACCTCCCTGTGGGCGGTCCTGTATTTACAAGACTGTAATAAAAACCAGGCTGGGTGTGCCAGCACCTCAGACCACTGCTTGACCCTCAACACAGAGCCTTGTCTTGTTATTGGGGGAATTGGATTGTGTGCTGACTGCCAGGAGTGTAAGCCGTTTGTATTGCTTTTCCTGTTCGGCTGCTTCCAGGGTTCCTGTGTCTGCTGTTCGAGAGTTGGTGAATACGTGCAGTTTGGAGTTCAGGAGGTTGGTGATTGCAGTAGCGGCTGGTCTATGGGAAAGGGGATTATCGCCTAAACCGATTTTATCCCCTTGTGAGAGAAACGGTCCGTTACAATTGGTGGCAGCGGTGGGATCGTTCCTACAACCAGAAGGACAGCTACAAGACAACACCAGTGCCTGGATTACAATTGAGGGCAACGTTAGTACCCGTACAGCGACCCTATCTACAAAGGAACCAACTTCGGCAGAGCAAACATGGCGCCCAGCTACACTCAGGAGGAGTTTGACCGAGAGCTTAAATTGCGGCTGGCTCTTGTTACATTTGTCCCCTCTGAGGAATTCGTGCAGCGCGTGAGGGGACATGTAGCAGAGTACCTGCAGGTCGTGGCAGATCGCGCCAAAGGTGTCGTCCTTCCTCCCTAGCGGCAGTGTGTGTCCCAGGGAGCCAAAGGTGTCGTCCTTCCTCCCCAGCGGCAGTGTGTATCCCAGGGAGCCAAAGGTGTCGTCCTTCCTCCCCAGCGGTAGTGTGTATCCCAGGGAGCTGAAGGTGCAGTCCTTCCTCCCCAGCAGCAGTGTGAGTCCCAGGGAGCCAAAGGTGTCGTCCTTCCTCCCCAGCGGCAGTGTGTGTCCCAGGGAGCGGAAGGTGTTGTCCTCCCTCCCCAGCGGCAGTGTGTATACCAGGGAGCTGAAGGTGCAGTCCTTCCTCCCCAGCGGCAGTGTGTATCCCAGGGAGCTGAAGGTGCAGTCCTTCCTCCCCAGCGGCAGTGTGTGTCCCAGGGAGCCAAAGGTGTCGTCCTTCCTCCCCAGCGGCAGTGTGTATCCCAGGGAGCTGAAGGTGTAGTCCTTCCTCCCCAGCGGCAAGGTGTCGTCCTTCCTCCCCAGCGGCAGTGTGTATCCCAGGGAGCTGAAGGTGCTTCCTCCCCAGTCCCCAGGGAGCCAAAGGTGTCCCTTCCCCCCAGCGGCAGTGTGTATCCCAGGGAGCGGAAGGTGCAGTCCTTCCTCCCCAGCGGCAGTGTGTATCCCAGGGAGCTGAAGGTGCAGTCCTTCCTCCCCAGCGGCAGTGTGTATCCCAGGGAGCTGAAGGTGCAGTCCTTCCTCCCCAGCGGCAGTGTGTATCCCAGGGAGCTGAAGGTGCAGTCCTTCCTCCCCAGCGGCAGTGTGTATCCCAGGGAGCTGAAGGTGTAGTCCTTCCTCCCCAGCGGCAGTGTGTATCCCAGGGAGCTGAAGGTGCAGTCCTTCCTCCCCAGCGGCAGTGTGTATCCCAGGGAGCTGAAGGTGCAGTCCTTCCTCCCCAGCGGCAGTGTGTATCCCAGGGAGCCAAAGGTATCGTCCTTCCTCCCCAGCGGCAGTATGTACCCCAGGGAGCAGAAGGTGTTGTCCTTCCTCCCCAGCGGCAGTGTGAGTCCCAGGGAGCTGAAGGTGTCGTCCTTCCTCCCCAGCGGCAGTGTGTGTCCCAGGGAGCAGAAGGTGTCGTCCTTCCTCCCCAGCGGCAGTGGGTATCCCAGGGAGCTGAAGGTGCCGTCCTTCCTCCCCAGCGGCAGTGTGTATCCCAGGGAGCTGAAGGTGCAATCCTTCCTCCCCAGCGGCAGTGTGTACCCCAGGGAGCTGAAGGTGCCGTCCTTCCTCCCCAGCGGCAGTGTGTACCCCAGGGAGCTGAAGGTGCCGTCCTTCCTCCCCAGCGGCAGTGTGTACCCCAGGGAGCTGAAGGTGTCGTCCTCCCTCCCCAGCGGCAGTGTGTTCTGCAGGAAGCGGAGACAGTCGGTCTCGCTCCCCAGCAGCAGGGCAATATATTAAAAGGGGAGACAGTTGGTCCCCCCCTCCAACAGCAGAGAGTGTTCCAGGGAGAGGAACCAGTTATCACCTCTCCCCAGCAACAGGACAAATTATTGAAAGGGGAGACAGTCGGTCTCTCCCTTCAACAGCAGAGAGAGTGTCAGGGAGAGGAGCTTGTTATCCCCTCTACCCAGCGGCTGAAAGTATGTATGGGAGAGGAGCTTGTTACCCCCTCTCCCCAGCTGCAGCTTAGCCCACCAAGGGGAGACAGTAATCTCCACAACAGTGCAGAGGGGACAGTGGTCTCTGCACATGCACCACCGGGGGTAGGAACAGTCGGTCCTGTCCCCCAGCAGCAGGACTGTTTAGGCAAAGGGGAGACAGTCTGTCCCCCCCTCCAGCAACCAGGCTCCAACCAGACTACTCCCGTGGTAGTGCTGGCACCAGGACAGAGTACCGCTGGTCTCTGCCCACTCAGCAACCCTCCCAGTACGCTGACCAGTCACCCACACAGCCATGGGGAGGCACCTGGACACGGACAAAGTTCTCCTCTACCCAGGTGTAGTAGCCAGTTATTGTGGGTGGGCTGTATTACTGATTGTGTTTTGTGGGTGGGCTGCTGGACTAACAAGGGCACTGACCGGCAGGAGGTCAGATACCCTGTTAGTCTGATTGGTAAAGGGGAGAAGTGTGGCGAAACCAACCTCGCCACTGTGCACTGGGAAGCCTGGTTGCCAGCCTCCTGCCATCTGACTATGGCCCCTTTTAAAAGACTTTATTTTTGCCTGCAGAAAAGCTGTATTCGTGCTTTTCTGCCTGGGGTTCGGTAGATGTGTTTGAATGTGTTATACCCCAGATAGAAATCCCATGGAGCCCATTTGTATGAAACTGACAGTAAAGACTTTGGCTCCATGGCGATTAAACTGTATTCGTGTGGTCTGAGCGCCATTCACTTAATACTTTGGCTCCATGGCGATTAAACTGTATTCGTGTGGTTCTGAGCGCCATTCACTTAATAATGTGCGCACAGACCTGAGCTATCTGGGGATATGTGAAATGTCTGTGTTTTATGTATAAAAGGTGACTTTATGTATTTTAAAGTGTTTTGTGTCTTTTTGCAACCATGTGCTTAATGGAGTCTTGTGTCTGTCCTGGGAGATAATTGAATTACTTATCTCCAGGATAGAAGACTCTGAAACTGGTTTGGGCCGGAAAGCCATGCTTCATTTAGTCACAAAGGACTTTTTACTAACTTTTGAACCCCTTGTCTGATTTGTGCCATTTTTTAATATGTTGTTCCCCTGAATGGATTGATTGTGAATGTGTAATTTTATGTGAATGTGATGTATGGTTTTAGAGTTATGAAAGTTGGGTAGAAAGTATGTTTTAACTGTATGTATAATTGAGTTTCCTCTCAGGATAAGGGGAGGGAATATGTGGGATGTAACTGTGATGTTATTGGTTGTTTTATACCTCCCTGTGGGCGGTCCTGTATTTGAAAACACTGTAATAAAAACCAGGCTGGGTGTGCCAGCACCTCAGATTCTGCTTAACCCTCAAAACGAAGTGTCGTCTCGTTATTGGGGGAATTGGATTGTGTGCTGACTGCCAGGAGTGTAAGCCGTTTGTATTGCTTTTCCTGTTCGGCTGCTTCCAGGGTTCCTGTGTCTGCTGTTCGAGAGTTGGTGAATACGTGCAGTTTGGAGTTCAGGAGGTTGGTGATTGCAGTAGCTGCTGGTCTATGGGAAAGGGGATTATCGCCTAAACCGATTTTATCCCCTTGTGAGAGAAACGGTCTGTTACACTTCCTATTGTTTCATCCATGTCAACCAGTTGTCCTTTCTTTAAATTCAACAAAGGTATATCAGAGGAGGGATGGAAAGAAGCATCACTGGTTGACTTATTCACATGGACATGGTGCCTTTTTCTGCATGGTGTGTCTAGCTTTCAGCAAAAAGACAGACGACAGTGCTTTTATTGATGGTTGCTTTGATGAAAAGCACATGTACCAGTGAATTGAAGAGCACGAAAGAAGCAACCTCCACAATAATAGCTCTGAATCCCTTTTGATGAGGTCAAAGAATATGGACATATCTAGTCATTTCTTTGAGAAACAAACAACAGCCAGAAAAGAGGAAGTGAAGAGAAAACGTGCCATCCTAGAGAGGATAATTGAAACCATAAAGCTGATTGGAAAAAGAGGCCTAAGCTATCGGGCAACAGCTGAAGCAGCATATACGTTAGATAATGAAAAGTTGGACCATGGAAACTTCCTTGAGATTTTGCTACTCTTAAGCAAGTTTGATCCCTTGCTGAAAAATCACTTTGATACAGTTATTAAAAAAAGTAAAAAGCAGCATCAAAGTGCAGCAAGTAGCAAAGGACGTGGTGGCTTTGTTACATTAATTACAAAAACTACAGTCAACAATATCATCTGTGTAATTTCAGCACTTTTGAAAAAAGGTATTGCCCAAGAGATCAGAGATGCCGGCATGTTCTCAATACAGCTCGATACAACACAGGATATAAACGTCTCAGACCAGTGTTCAATAATAATTCGGTATGTCACAGATGTGGTCCATGAACGTCTGGTTGCTGTGGAAAATTGCACATCCACGCCAGGGAAGGCTTTGTGTGAACTGGTTTGCAATGTATTGGAATCCATGGAAATTGAGGTTACGAACTGTGTTGGGAACTCAACAGATGGAGCTTCGAATATGCAGGGTCAGTACAACGGATTCAGCACATGGCTGAGTAATAAAGCACCTGGCCGGATTCATGTGTGGTGCTACGCACATGTACTAAATTTGGTGATGATGGATGTCATAAAGATATCTGTTCAGGCAATATTGTTGTTCGGCTTGTTAAACTCCTATGCTGTATTTATCCGCGA